TCTAAAACTATGCTCTAGTAACACTATTTGAAAATGTGATGTTAATATAGTCAGTCCTATTTTTTTTCAGCGTTTCATTGGCAGTTTATTTGTGTATCTATGATTTTGATTGTTTTGCTCGTATTTTAATAAAAGTAAAAGTCACCAATGGGCTCTTCTCCATTGCTTTCGGATGTATCGACTCTTGTGTGATATCTATTGTTGTTGTTGTTGTTTTTTTTTTTTCGGTAAATGCAGGTTGGAAATTTTTTTCCATAAAAGTTCTTGTCTTAGGTTTTCAAAAGTTAATATGGTACAACAGCAATGTTTTCACTTGAGTTCCTCTGTTCAATAAATGTGATCATTGGTAGTTTAGTGGTTCGTACTTAGGCTGCTGCGCTTTCTTCAGGGGTTCATAGGCTACTTCCGGCTGTAAGCCTAAAGGACTACGAACCGTTGACCGAATACCTTGCAGATTCTGATAATCACGTGATATTTGCTCAAGTGTGTTAAGTTCCTGGTAGTTTCTAGCTGCTGAGGGATCACTTGTGTTAACATACATTTCATCGGAGATCTGGGGAATCTCATATGGATAGCTTATATTATGACTAGTGTCTGTCACTGTGGGCTCATCCAAAGGCTCTTCGTAAGCTGTCTCTTCTCCTTGCTCTGTATTATAAGGTAAGCCATGGTCCGAGAGAGGGGGGACTGGGTCCATAGATATGTTGATGACGCCCTTGAAATTCAGATTTTCAAGAAATAAATGTAAGCGTTACTTTTCATAAACAAACAAACAAACAAAAACAAAAAACAGACCAACAGAGGACTTTTCTTTATAACAGTTGCCTTGCAAAATAACGTTAGTCAGCTACAATAATGATTTTATTTTCAAACTTATAATTAAAGTATCAGTGCCATTTAAGATTGCCTGCATGCACTTAATAAACTGACTTTCTCTTGAAGTGATTCTTTGATTTTACATGTTTCGGCATATGATTTGAATTTCCAAACTGGGTCCTGAAAATCCACTTCGGTGTTTATTTCGATATCATCATCCTCTTCAAATCAGTGAAGATGAATAAAAAAAATCATATAAAGCACTATATTAAAAAAAGCGCTTGTGTCTTAGAAGTATAAATTTAAAAACAAAGAAAGCGCACACAGCCCAATGCTTCTTGGTCATTTATTTTCTATTAAAGTATCCCTATCATTTCTAAATCGCTTTAAATCCCAGAACAACGTGCGTGTTATAAAGTAAAACAATATTATGATCCATAGAATTAGAATACAGCATTAACCAAAAACAGCGCTTATATTATGGAGTATATGATTTGATAATATATATTTGTTCTATATGACTGTATACCTTTTGAGATGAATATCTTTTCTTTGTGCTTCTACCTAACGAATCATTGATAAAAGACAAGATCATAATCTGACGTTTCTCATATGAATTTAGAGTTAAACAATCAATGTTAAAAATAGTTCAAAAAGACTCAACTTGCCTCTACGTAGTTTGATGATAAGTACAATCGTAATCAGGATGCAGATGATTGCAATGATTGACAGCACACTAACAGCAATTAGAAAAGGTTTACCTGAATAACAGGACGAACCCACAATAATTAGATACTCTTGTTTGAAGATCACAGTGAAGACACAATAAAAATCACGACAGCGAAAGAGTTTACAAATAACACGGCAGATACCTATAAAATAACCTATAGGGCTATTTCTATCTTGATATGGGATTCAAGAAAAATTCATTGGATGACGAGGGAATTCCGCAATGAATTTCACGAGAAAAACAATACCGCACGAGTCCCCTATAGAATTGAACTGATGTTTAGAAAGGTTTGCTTGGATTTTCTCTTTGATATCATTAATAACGATATATACTTTGAAATATGAAAGGCTTAGTAAAGAAAATTGTTTGATGATTTCCTTGGCTCGCCTTTGTATATCTCGGCTATCCAAATTTGTACGGCCATATTGATCACATATTGCACTTAATACAAACCTAGTTCAGTTCCTCCTTTGTCTTTTGCTATTTTTGTCTTGTAACATATTGCATCGTTTTCTAGAAGAAAAAAAAAGCATTAAACAGCGAAATGTGTTAACGCTGATATTTTTATTTTGGTCCTATGATTCGAAATATGCAAAAAAAGATATTTCTTTCGGATAAATCTGATATTTTAAGCCTTCAAAATTTTACAAACTAAACAAAAGCAGCCTTTGGGCATTGTTACATATAATTCTTCATTGCTTTTCTTTGTGTCATCAAAGGTTGATTATTAATGCAACAGTCGTTCTGGCTAATTGATTCGTTAGCTTGGGAAAAACGGGTCTAACCCTGATTAAAGTCCTTTTTCCGTTCTTTTTTAATAAAAGACATTTTTTAGACTACTGTCAATTGCTAAAGCGATTATAATTATTTTTCTGATTCTCAGCCTGTTCGTTTGCTTTGTTTGCTTTGTTTGCTTTGTTTGCTTTAGTTTTTTTGCTTTTTCTACTCTAATTAACTTTGGGTTATAGTACACGTGACGCTTACCATAGCCTCGAACAGTCACTTCGTGCTCGATAAATCCAAGTACATTCTCAGCGCGGCACTTATAATCTTTTTGATTTTCGATGTATATTGACACCTCACTATAACCAGCCAGTGACGTCACGTTTTCTTTGATTCGCTGTTCATTTGAGTTGTACCACGTGATATTTGGAATAGGAAATCCACTAGCTACACAACGTAACCGTGTTACAACTTGAGGAAAAAATGTTATTGCATTGTCTGACATTGAGTGGTCGATGCTTGGTGGATCTGTATTGGTTATCAGATAAGAAATTAGTAGACAATAGCAAAATCGAAATAAAAAAAATAAAGAAATCAAAACACAAGTACATTTTTGTTAATTATTTGCTGTAATCTTTTTTTGTCTCGCTTCCATTCAAACGATTAGCTAACTTTCAAGATTGCGCTACATCATAATTATAAACATAGTATGACATAAATCATACCATTAGATAAACTTACACATAATGTTTACTGTTGTTTGAGTGGTAACAGGACTTTGATTTGGATTGTTTACCGCCTGACACTCGTACGTTCCATTCTGATCTCTTTTGATATTCGGAATCATAAGTGTTACACTTCCTACTCCTTCGACGATGGTAGCCTTGGAATCCCCTTGCACTTGTACCCACGAGACGTTGGGCGTTGGGGGGCCAACCGCTGAACAAGATATTTGCAGATTCCGTCCTTCTTGAATATTCACAAAAGACGATGGTCGCCGGTTAAAATGTGGTGGGGCTGTAAAATAAACCAAACAAGGAAAGTGAAATTGAGTAAAATATAAGAGCTAAATGTTGACTCCACTCTTTGCCTAAAGATATACGCTGGAAGGGAGTTATTTCAATTTAGCCGCCAAGAATTTGTTTTCATCCTAAGACAAATTTGAGCTGTATGACTGAAATATTTGCTTTATACTTAGAAGCTGGGTGAAAGACTAGCAAATAGCAATGGAGAGGCAGTTATGAGTTAAGATATGTAATTTGTTTACATCATTTTATTTTACAGAGAAATGTATATCTGGAGCACAAGCCAAGCACCAAACCACATAATTATGTTCCTTTGTTATAAGCACATTTAAAAAAGTCATATTTATACGAAACATAGGCTTTATAATTCAGGGGTCATTCATTTCCAAAGTTGATTTTAAGAAAATAATGACCTGTGGCCAAAAGCAAAGTTCTATCAATAATATACTACTACAGAACTGGACTCAGAACAACGTTATAATTGGTGTGACTAAGTCAAGAAAAGCAATATTAAATAAATAGAATTAGTCCTGCTGAAAATGAGATTTTTTAAGACGAACGTTGCTTTATAGATGTTATTGAGAAAGAGTTGCATTCATACTAATCATATTAATTGTTAGTCACATCCCTGGATCCACACTTGTGTTAGTTGCATTTAAAACGTATTGATGACTCTTTGACAGTTCTTGCTACTATACCTGTGACAATCAGTGTTGTTGAATTTGTTATTGGAGGTCGATGCCTTAAAGTCAGATTACATCTATAGAGTCCACTATCTTCTGTGGTTAAGTTATATATAACAAGGCTGGCAACCGAAGCCTTAGTCACTCTTGTAGGATTCTGCAGTCTTTCTGGACAAGATGAACTAAGTTTCCATTGCCAACCTAGTGTACCATAGTCTGCACCGATTGTTTTCCAGCCATCAATGCTATTGTAGAACTCCCAACGAGGTGACTGAGGATCAAAGTTTGAGCTTTTATTGCTGGAGATGTAATCCCATTCAAGAGTAGCAGCTTGTCCCACTGGGACGTACAGTATTTTTGGTGGAACTTTGGAGAAATGCGGGATCACATCTGAAATAAAAAAAACCTGTTATCCTTTCGTAATATCCATATGGCTACCATAATTATTTCATTTAGTTTAACACATCCGTCACCTTCCCCCTCAAAAGTTATACTACCGAATATACATCACTTAGATCGAAGGTCTAAAAATCTAGAAAGGAAATTTTAATTTATATAAGAATATGAGCATGGCCATTTCGAGTGCCACTACTTGCGGCCATTTTCTCACTGAAACCATTCCGACATGCTCCTACCATATATAGCGCATGTTTTATCTCAATAAACTGACAATTTCAAAGAGGGATAGGAAAACGAAAACGTTATTAGCAATTTGACGTTAGCATGATATGTGTGATTCCGAATTGTCAACCCTACATTTCATTGCCTGGCGAATATCAAATCCATCCCCGTTTTAAAGTTTCAATCGTTATTCTCTATCATATATCGGTCTCAATATAAGCACTGCCCTTGACGGTTCAATGCACAAGAATGCACAAGAGTTAATCAATATAGATATCTGAGAAAACCAGGAAAGAACCCTATTACTACAATGGGAAATAGCATTCCAAGATCAAAGTCTCAATTTTACCTAAATGCAATTATGATGGATTTTTATTTATTTTTTTCATTTGATTTATACATAAAACATAAAACATAACTTTTAAATTTCAAAGACAAGTTTCGAAATTCATAAAGCCATCTTCAGTTTGAGTATATGATTACAATTTACAATCAGTTATATAGTAGTAGTAGATAATACTGTATAATGAAATTACAACTGTCAAAAGTAAAAAAAAACGCTTAAAAGCGCTTGTGGTTACTCTAAAATCTGTTGTTATCAATATTTTGAAATTTCAATCTTGTGCTGTGTGAATAAAAGAATATTTAAATATTTTAAATTGATGATCGGATATTTTGGAAATTGCTGGTAATGTAAGCATGTTTGGCTGTCAGGGCTGAAAGATTAAGAGTAAGAGTCTTAGGGTTTAACTGAAGAAGTGTTACTTACTATAAAATTTAAGTATTTAATGCTGCCTAGCGTCAGGTCATATTTTGTATTATTTACAGAGAGCATTTGAGTGCTTGTTAAATAGTTATTTCTGATGCAAGCATTATCAATTAGACAATCGTAAATATTTTTACATTTTAATAATAACATAGAAGAAATCGAACGTATATATACAGTAATTGCTTATAACAGTATACAAGATTGTTTTTTTTTAAACAAATAAAACTAAAACACTTAGGTGCTTTCAAAAAGTATTTGCATTCAACTAATTGGAAAAACGTTGTAACAGAGAAAGAGCACATTTAGTAAAAATTTAGTAAGAAAACCATTTTTTTTACTGTTTTTTTACCATTTTTATAAGGTGCAAATGGTCTATTTCTGTATAACGTTTTTCCTAATTTTTCCTATAGAAAAGATAGAGATTTTAGCACTTAGTCATTGTCAATATGAAAAAAAGGAAAAGTGTGTTTGGTGTATTCCAGATAGCTGTTCAGCAGAGGGGTCATCAGCTTCCTCAATTGCAGAGCCATTCTTGGCAGTATTTACATGCACCTGAAAAAAGAGGTTAAGGAAACTGTAATTAATTTATGTACAGTGAATTACAATAGATGTAATTTAGTGGTCAGAAATATGAATCAGGTTAGAGTGTTTATGCTATGTCCATCAGAGTGGAATAACTTTCAGCAAAAAAATAGTTTCTATTTTATTGTGAAAGGTTACTGAAATTTATAGTTGTTATTAATTACTCTTTATATGGTATTATTTTCTTCTAAACAACAAGTACTATTATAAAGTGAATATTTGCACAATCGTCTTAATCAGCTGTTATATCACTTAAAAGGTTTTTAACTTCATTATGAATATCAAGCTTTATGTAAATAGTTCTTTATATAATTATACTCCTTGTTTTGATTGATATATACTCAAGAGGTTGATTTAACACAGGGGTTTATTAATTTAAGTTTGTATTTGATTTCTTTTTGGCAGTTATTAGTTATTTTTAGCATTTTTTTTGGCTTTCTTTATAGTTGTCTGCCGATTGACATTTCGTTCATAACAATCGCTATTGAGCGTGGATTTATCCTGTTATTCAGACACAAATATTAACTATTGCGAAAAACGGTTAAAAATCTTTGATCATTGATTGATAAAGAGAGATAAAGAATATAAAAAGATAACGTTTACTTTACTTACCAACGCAAGCTAACCTTGACGAATGTGAGCACGTGGAAAATCTTGTCCCATGAGCCAGCGTTTTTTTGGCCAGCGTTGTTGCCAGTTGCCATGGCAAAGCTACTTCATGATTGAGACACATGTCATAACGATGCTGCGCATATTCGTTTACACGAGATCATACGATCGGACAATGTTCAGATTCGAAAACCCACATCAAAGAACAACTATAGGAATCCTTGTATATATACTCTGGCTTTTCATAATAATTGACATTTTGGTGTGTTGTGCCTTTGTAGATCTTATTATAATTTTAAGAGAGCTATATATATAGAGCAGACATGGTGAATTTACAGGGGGACTTCAGTTAGCGATTTCTCATATACAGGGGGGTGCAGTTTGGGTTATCTTTAGACTTTCAAATTACGTGATAGTGTTACTTATGGACTTACATACAACACGATAACAAAGTGGTTTCCGTTTTAAAACGGAGTAACCACAAAAACAAGAGATGAACTTGTGCATTTTTAGCCTTACCTCTAACTGTTAAATGTACAATCTGAAAATTGTACCATGAAGAACCCTGTTCTCGTATACCTGCGCCATAGTAGCCTGTGTCATCCGTGGTTAAATTTGAAATCTTAAACCAGGCATATCCTAGAGTTAAATTCCCAACAAAACTAACTCGTCCTTTGTAAGGAGAATGTGATACTGCAGAGTTAATGACAGGTCCTGAATATTTATCAACATAAATTAATCTTTGGATAAGTTTGTTTTCACCAGAATTCGCCAAACCCCATCTAACAGCTAGAATACTATGTGATGAGTTCCACTGAAAAACGACATCTTTTCCATCATTTCGCACTAATGAGCCAGGTGACAAGATGGCAGTTTGAGCTGTGGGAATTCGCAGAAGAAATATGAAAATCACATTTTGAGTCTATAAGAAAATTATTTATCATAGACTAACTTGACAGGACACTGCTAATTAGTTACTACTATTGTATAAGTATTTCGTCAAAATTTGATAATTTGTTATCGAAAATATCATTGTTGTTAAGCGTAAAATCAAATCAAATTGAATACAAATTTAAATATGAAATGACCTTTGGTACTATCAACACAGCTAAAAAAGCAAAAACTTGCAATCAAGGTAATATTCTGGATGAATTCTGGCAATTGGCACAATGTGCACTACTATAATAATATCACACAAATATATAAACTTAAAAGTATAGAAGAAAAAAGAGAAAATATTAAATCCTATCAAAACAGCAACTCAGCTGCATGAGACACCTACAATAGCTTACCAGCAATAGAAAACGTAGCCAAGATACAGAAGATGGTTTTCAAACATGATGATAAACTTAATAGCTCCCAAAAAATCAGCATCTTTTATCCTTTTCAGCTTTAATCGACATGTAGAAGAACTGTAAGTGATAGACTGGAAGCCCAACAAGTCGTGAACTAATCTTGCGTGCTCTTGCTGCTTGTGTACTGATGCCACAATATATACTTATTTTGAAGAGACCGTATGTGGGAAAATGTATGAATTACTCAAAAACTCTCCAAACATTTGCACTACCAACGATCATGAATACAAAATATCAAGTGAGCATTAGGAATTACTGTCGTCAGAAACCTAACCATCTTTGTTAGTCATGCGGATAAAGCTGTAATATGCTAATTTAAATGAGCTACGTACACATTTCAAAACGTAACCTTCCGGGCCAACTGGGGCTAAACAACACAATTCACAATTGGCTAGAAAAATAATCAATATGAGAAGACGTCTGACGATGTTTTTTTATCATTATTCCATTTATCTTGTTGAGTAGTTGGACATAACCTGATTGATATTTTTCTCCTTCTTCTTTTATAAAAATAAGTGCGCAAATCCACATTTGCGCGAATATGACGACGAACACCTCCGCTGGTAGATCGTAAGATTCCAAAAAAAATATAAAAGACTGAAGGGAGCAGTTGCAAAATGATCTCAAGCCGTTTCATAATATTTCCGGATATCTATGTGTTCCTGTGGAATGTGATGAAGTTCTAAACAAGTTCAAGTATAAAATGTTATTTTAGTAAAGCTTTTGACGAGAATATGACGTAACATTGAATGTGCAGGCCACAACGTTGCTTTAGCAGTTATAAGACGACCAAATATACTTGTGAAAACAATAACGAAGACAAATTTTTATAAGAGGTAACAGTAGTTGTAATAATATCTTATATGTTTCTTTGATTTGTTGAAAGGTGTTGCATTGCCTGCTCTTAGTTGGTCGTTTTGTTACCTTCCTTAAAATTGTGTCAAGATTTGTGATGATTTTAAATAAAGAATATTATTATTTTTCATTTTGTAAGGCAGGCTTTAATGAGAGTCAGACCTTGATTATGCTTACCTGTAACAATTAAATTTGCTTCAGTTCTGATATAATCCTTATTAATTAAAGCCAATGTGCATCCATAGATCCCACTGTCAGCCATTGTCACATTTGTGATGACTAAAGTGGCATTCGACTCTCTCCTAACTCGAACTGTAGGCTTTAATAACCGAGGTGGGCAAGTATTAGAAGCAGTCTGAAATTTCCATCCAATGTACGGATTGTTAAAACCAATTATTTTACGCTGGATGGTATCTTTGTTATAGCGGTAATACCATAGTGGTGAAAGTGTTTTAAACTCTTTCACGATGTTATCAACATGGTAGTCCCAGACAAGCTTAACAGTTTCTCCTTTTAATACATATAGCCTGCTTGGTGGATTTAGAGTGAAGAAAGCTTTGCAATCTACAAATAAATCGAATCTATATAAAAGCCTGTTCGTTTGAATCTGCAGTTGCTTAGGTTCAATTCAGTTTCTAGATACTTACCTGAAATTATTATATAGTGAGCCAAAAGAGCGAGAATAAAATAGATCATCGTAGACAGACGAAAAAACCGGTTTATCAAAACAACCTCCAACCAATGAGGTGCAATTATTCCAAAATGCTTCATTCTGCTTGAAGGGACATTTTCGGTTTGTTTTAGTAGAAGTGGCTAAATCAGAGTTTTTTTAAGGGGTTWAAGACGGAAACTAATKCYACAAGCAAGATGAAATGTGACCTTTCTCTTTTTGTGACACAGAAAGAGAGCATTCCCAGAGCTAACAAAGGCCCTGTGTTTCAATGCTGTATAATATACCTTCTAACAAAGGCCCTGTGTTTCAATGCTGTATAATATACCTTCCATGCACGTAGTGAAATATATACATATTTTTTTTTCACAACAATCATATAGTTATAACAATAAAGCCGTAACAACACTGACATTTATACGGAACTCTTCTTCTCAGGCATTTGATGTTTTAAAGTATAGAATCATAGAATAATGATAATAGATAATTAATAGAGAAAACAAGCTCATGTTTATCCTATAAAATATTTACTGGAAATTTTAATAGCACTATAAGCTTTGCAGAAAGAGTGCTGAAAATGCTTGCTTTCTCTAGCTTGTTTTTTTTTTTAACCAAGCTGCATAAACAGCTATCTAGAAAATCGTCTTTATTAGCAAATTAAGTTTCTTTTGGCCGCTGACTTTTCGCTGAATGGTAAGAGTTCAGTACGAGATTGAATTGCTGAGTAAGAGAGAATGTAAGAGATACAAACCGGTCACAACCAGTTCCACTATACTTATTGGCATCGAGCTCAGTGATCCACTTGATAACAATAAGAGACATCCATAGATCCCACTGTCAGCCATGGTGACATTAGTGATGACCAAAGTATCATTGGACTCTTTGCTTACTCGTACTGTTGGACTTAGTAATCGAGGTGGACAGTGGTCATATATTCTGAATTTCCATCTCAGAAATATATCATCATAACCAATACCTGCTTCAGTTGCATTTGCCGTATGCATCGTGCAGTCTCCATTTTGGCGAGAACGAATCAAACTCCCTCATTCTATTGTCCACATGGTAGTCCCACTCAAACCTGGCAATTCCTCCTCTTGCTACATACAATTTGCTAGGGGGACGTGAGTAAATGGCGCTGCTGCATCTGTGCGCAGAGAAACATTATTCACTTTAAATAACGTTCGTTTTACAGATATTGATATCGTAAAGAATAAGATAATAAGAGTCTAGCTTCACAGTTTCTCCTTTTAATGCATAGAGTTTTCTTAAAGGAATTCGAGTTAACTGAGCTTTACAATCTATGTGATAAATCGAAACAACGCAACTGATAATGTGCATCATCAGTTTCACTTGCATGGTTATAGTTTCTATTGTTTTGTTTTTTGTATATATCAGTTTGCCCAATTTATCTCAAAAATTGTTTTTATGGCATGTTCTCCAAGAATTTTAACGGATTTGAGGTTCAATCTAGTAGTATTGGAGTTTTTGAAGCAGTTTAAAACACTCGAGATCGTGCTTTTTCAGGCATAAAGATTCGAGCCGAATTCGATTCGTGTTTTTTGTGTCGTGTTTTAAACTATACATCATCATGTCTTAAAAGCAAATTATGTTATTTAAATAACTTTGAGCTGTCTCATTTTATGTATCACGACAAATGTGTTATGTGAACTTGAAAATCATATAAAATGATTCACTTGTTTACCTAGTCATATTACCAAGTAATATCTCTTATTGAATTTGTATGCGTTTCTTCAGCTATCTTTTTTAGGTACAGCAAGGAAGAGAATGCAGAAAATCATACCTGTTACTATGAGTTGTACTTTACTTATTGGCGAGTTCCATGATCCACTTGATAAAAATAAAATGCATCCATAGATCCCACTGTCAGCCATAGTGACATTATTGATAACCAAAGTAGCATTTGCTTCTCTCCTTACTCTTACTGTTGGACTTATCAGTCGAGTTGGGCACCGGTAATATATTCTGAATTTCCATCCCAGAAAAA